TCTAAAATATAATTAGGATAATTACCGAGTTCCAACAAAATAAATAATTATTATCTTTATAAAAAAATTATATTATTAAACCAAATATAAATTACTTCGTTATTGTACATAAATTAAATTATAAAAAAAATTGAATTAAAAAATTACACAAAAAATGAGGAATTTCAAATAGTTAATTTGATACTAATATCGACATATTTTTGTCAAATTTTTATGATATATTCAAACATATATTTTATTCAAAAATAAAAACATCATCGTTTTTCTCAAAATCACATAAAGTCATATTATAACATCGACTTAGATAAAAAATAAAATGAAATATTAAAATCACGATGTATCTCGCTGCATTGCGCGAATACGCTTCTAATATATATATAATTTGAATATACCGCTTACTTAATCCATTCAATAATTTCTTTTCGATTGTTCTTTCTTTGGAAAAGGGATCAAAACCCCTGAAAAAAATTGATAAAAAAGAATTACAAATGTTTTACGAGAAAAAACACCTACCTAGAAAATGTTCAACCATCAACACTTCCAATTAGTGATGGCTAAAAACCGGTCCCGATCGAAAATGGTAAGACCGGTCAAGGTTCTTTATAACCGGTTATGGGCCACCGGTCCGGCGTTAAAAAATATATATTTTTAATTTTTTAATGATACATATTTTTAATGCATTATAAAATTTGTAATTTGGTCACTGAAATATATTTTAATATAATCAAAATTATATTGTCTTAAAAAATACATTATAAAATTATTTGAATTTTCGGGCCGGCCCGGTCCATAACCGGTCCTGGTCCCGGTCTCACGAAACTGCCAAAAACCCCAACCAGTCCCGGTTTTCGGTCCCATAACTGAACCTTACCGGTCTTTTGCCGGTCCCGATTCGGTTCTTCCTGGGCCGGGCCAGACTGATTTGGCCATCACTACTTCCAACCAAATACCCATCTAAAACAAAGGCCCATATAAACCACCCCACATTCCCATAAACAAGAATCTCATCTACAGAAGCCCAAAATCGTCAGCCCATATAATTTGAAGCCCAGTAAAATATCTCAAGCAGTATCCAAATGAGGCCCAGTTTAAAGCCCAAATTTCATCATAACACACACAATGTTATGTTACTAATCAATAATAATCAGCTCCAACCCAAAAACAAAACCAGGGACCATAACTAGGGGTGAGCATAGACAGGTACCCGCCCTTTTTGACAGGAACCGGAACCGGAACTAGAACCGGCGGTTCTTGAGATATTGGAACCGGAACCAGAACCGGTTAGAGCGGTTCTTGAATTTTTGGAACCGGAACCGGAACCGTCGGGAACCGGTTCCGGTTCCGGTTCCGGGTACCCGCTTCCTAAAATATTAAAATTTTGTTATTTAGAAATAAAATAAAATATTGCCAAAACACTAAATTAAATAAACAAAAATACAAATTATACGGAATAATGATTACAAATATTGTTTTAACGATTACAAACCATAATAGATTAATAGAAAATGTTCAAAGTTTAACGATTATATACTATAATTATAAATGTTCAAAGCTTAACGATTACATACTACGAACTGTAGTTTAGTAGAACTAGAAAGTAGATGAAGAATGAAGATGACCGCGTCATTTGAAGATGTAACTTAATATAAATTTGGTATTGAAAAAAATCAATTATTTTTTTATTGAAAAACAACCGCCGGTTCCGGGTACCCGGCGGGTAACGGTTCCGAAAAACTGAGAACCGGA